CTGTCACATTCGCTTGTAAGCCTTGAAATCGAGATACAAAGTTGTACGGAAAATTTGCATATACAGTATCTCTAACATCTAGCTAGAGTTCGGCAAACAAAACCAAAACCAAAACAGACCAAAACCAAAACCAAACCAAAACCAAAACCAAAACAAACCAAAACTCAATTTGCATATAAATTAACATGTAAATTTAAAATTGTAAAATGCAAATTTTAATGTGAAATGCAAATTTGCCTTTCACTTTTTCTCACTCCACAAAATCTCGCGGCCGAAAAAAGGACCAAATCACGACCTCGAAATTTCGAAACAAAAAATAGCCTATGGGATAGATTTTTGGACGCTGATTTCAAATCTGCAAACAGATTTTCGCTAGCTCCTCCCAGTCGCGAGATATTGGCGAGTTTTGGTTCGTTTTGGTTTTGGTTTTGGTCTGTTTTGGTCTTGGTTTTGGTTTTGGTGGTTTTGGTTTTGGTTAAGTTTTGTTTTCCGAAGTCTACATCTAGCTACTGATCCTGGAGCGTCAATTGCGACGTCACATCCCCGAATTTGCATTCATCAACTACCGTACCCTGTTTGTGCGAAAAAAATTTTCCCAGAAAGCTCAAGACAAAAATATGAAAGAAAAGCGAATTATCGGCGGAAATTCGATAATTTGTCGATGCTGTGTCCGGGAAATTAACCTTGAATGTCTTGGATTCCTTGAATCTCTTGAATCTCTTGGACTCCTTGAATCTCTTGAATCTCTTGAATCTTTTGATTCTCTTGAATCTCATGAATCTCTTGGACTCCTTGAATCTCTTGAATCTTTTGAATCTCTTGAATTCCTTCAATTCCTTGAATCTCTCAAATCTCTTAAATCTCTTGAAAAATCTCTTGAATTAACGAAATCCCCAAAAAAATTTTACGCGTTATTTCCTTATCAAGCAATTTTCCCTTTTTTTTCTCATTCCTTTTTCGCATTTCGCATTTTTGCTTGACATTTTCGGCGAATCTGAATTAGAAGCCGCAAATTGGGGCAAAAGAAACCAAAAAGGGGAGAAATTAGGCGAATTATAACTATGCGCGGAAGAGATCACAAAATTTCGTCGCAAATGTACCAAGTGTACTGGGGGATTTCTCGTGTGCACTTTGCAACAATGTTTGCCTGGGTTTATTAGGTTTAGTACTTTGAACTTTGAAGGCCTATAACTCTGCCTAGAGCTAATATTTTTACTAACTTTTTATATCATTGTAAAGAGGAGATTTCAGGCTTTCAAATGATACCAAATAGAGTTTGATTGGATAATCCAGTCCAAGAAAATCAGAGCCAATGGCCTATCCAACTCGAGTGACTTCTTGCCTTCTTTGCATGGGAATGAAAAAACCGATTAAGCTCTATTTGGTATCTTTGCATTTGCCTATTTGCAAGCCTGAAATATCCTCTTTACAATGATATAAAAAGCTAACAAAAATATGCTCCCTAGACAAAGTTATAAGCCTTCAAAGTGTGAGGAGCCGTTGAAAAACCCGGATTTTTTCCAAAAAAACCCGCATTCTTTCAAAAAACCCGGAAAAAACGCAAGATCCAACGATTTATATCGGTGCAAACGCAGAATTGGATCTAGTTTTTAGAAAACAAGCAATTTTACCCTTATAGGAACTCTGTATTCGACCGATCAACATTTCAAATTTGTTATTGGGTTGGTGAATTGAAAACTGCCGGACTTTGAACTAAAATTTATTCAACATAAAAGCATCAATGCATTCCAAATAATTTCCATTATTATTGACGAGTTCTGCCCATTTTACAGGCAATTTGCGGATTCCTCTTTCGTGGTAGGATTTTGGTTTGTGTTTGAGACAAGTGTGAGACTCAAAAATGGAGGAATGCCCCAGTTTGAGCACTTTCTTCTAAAGAAAACCATTTTGGTGTCAATGGAAAAGTTGTAGAGAATCAAAAATTAGGCTTATAGCCAAATTTCCAAAAAGATACACTTAGTAGTTTCGCTTAAAATGCAAGTTTTGTGAAAATTCGTAAATTTGGCATTTCTTGAAAACCAGTTTTTGAATCGTTCTGAAAATTTGGATATAAGCTTGATTTTTGATTCTCTACAACTTTTCCATTGACACCAAAATGGGTTTCTTTTGAAGAAAGTGCTCAAACTGTCACAGATGACAATAGCCGGCAGTTTTCAATTCACCAACCCAATAAATTAAAAATAATAATTAAAATAATCAAAAAAGTAATTAAACAAATTGGGTTTAATTTCATTTTACTTTAAATCAATTTAAAAGAATTCTCTCTTGAAATAATAAAATTCTGACGACAGATGCCTTTCGGACCGTCCACCGTACACTTTGCCTTTCAGACGTTTCCGCGCCAAACGTCGGAAACTACCGTAACCCGACGCAATAAAAGGACCCCGCCAAGAAAAAAATGTTCAGTCTTTCGTCGTGTTTTTCGTCGTTTATTTTTTCAGTCTTTTTTTCATTGACACCAAAATGGGTTTTTTTGAAGAAAGTGTCACATATGACAATAGCCAGCAGTTTTCATTTCACCAACCCAATAGTTGACTGTTGCATTGTACACCTGATACCTGATGACGATTCAGGTCATCAAAAATGAGCCAACTTTCCAACTCATCTCCCATTTGACCAATGAAATGATTCCACTAAATGGATTGTAATGGGTTTTACTAAATACATTTCCGAGTCAGGCCAAAGACTGAAGCCAGCTCCTCTGCCTGAACCAAGCTCTGGCTTTGCCTAGTTTGATTCAACTTTCCAACGATCCAATCCAACTTTCCAACGATCCAATCCAACTTTCCAACGATCCAATCCAACTTTCCAACGATCCAATCCAACTTTCCAACGATCCAATCCAACTTTCCAACGATCCAATCCAACTTTCCAACGATCCAATCCAACTTTCCAACGATCCAATCCAACGATCCAATCCAACTAGAACATTCCTAGTGCATATATATTCCTAGTGCAAACTGTCACAACTGACAATAGCCGGCAGTTTTCAATTCACCAATCCAATATTTTTGATTGGAGGAGGGGGTTTTTTTGGCAGAGCTTCTGGCCCTTTTTTGGGTTGGGGTTTTTACCTTCGTTCTTCGGGAACTTTGATGTTTCTATTCACTAGATGTTTCTATTCATGCGTAAATGTAAATTTACCCCATACCCCATACCTTTCGAGTTCTTTTTCATCGATTCCCTAAAAAAAAAACAATGTCATCACTATGTATTCCAAAATTTCATGCTTGTAATTACCAAATGCATTTACCAAATGTAATTACCAATCTCTCAAAATAAACCCGATAATTTGATGTGATTTCCCCCCGAAAACACACATAAGGCGAATATTTATTTTTAGGCAAATTTCTATTTTTTTAAACGTCGTTTTTTTTTGTTCAAGAGATAACATATTTAAAATAGAAAGAAATGGAAAGAAATGGAAAGGAAATTATTGAAAAATAAAATGCCAAACATACAGATATGAAAGAAGGGAATTATTCTATAATCATTTCAAAAGAAATTACTTTCAAAAAAGACGAAAAACACGAAACAGACGAAAAAGACGAAAAAGAACTCAATTCATCCATATTGAAAGAGCCGATTGTTGGGGAGATCAAGGAAAACGAAAAAAAGAAAATGAAAAGAAAGAAAAGAAAGAGAAGAAAGAAAAAAGAAAATGGAAAAAAGAATGCAAAAGAAAAAGGAATGCAAAATTTGATGGGGTGTGACCGGGATCGAACCCTCGACCTAGCACGCCGTCAGACTGGGGGTCAAGGGCGTTAACCACTCGGCCATGGAAGCAATTTGATCGCCCGGTTGAAAACCGGTTTACCTTTACAATTCTTTCATAAACTATCGAAAAATGAAAGAAAATGGAAAAGTTGTAGGCTTTGGCTGGGATCGAACCCTCGACCCGTCAGATTGGGGGTCGAGGGCGTTAACCACTCGACCATGGAAGCAACTTGATCGTCCGCTTGAAAACCGGTTTAAACCTACAACTCTTCTATAAACTATCGAAAATGAAAGAAAATGGAAGAGTTGTAGGCTTTGGCTGGGATCGAACCCTCGACCGTTGGGACGACGGCCGGGCGGCGTTAACCACTCGGCCATGGAAGCAACTCGATCGGCCGGTTGAAAACCGGTTTAAGCCTACAACTCTTTCATAAACTATCGAAAAATCAAAGAAAATGGAAAAGTTGTAGGCTTTGGCTGGGATCGAACCCTCGACCCGTCAGACTGGGGGTCGAGGGCGTTAACCACTCGGCCATGGAAGCAATCTCCTCGCCCGGTTGAAAACCAGCTTAAGCCTACAACTCTTCCATAAACTATCGACAAATGGTTTGGGAAAGAAACCCGAAAAGCTTAAATGGAAATTTCCCAAAAAAATACAGTTAGATTACTGTAGTTTGGGGGGAAATTTCACTCCATAAAACGACTAGAAAGAAGAGAAAAATTGAGAAAAAGCAGAAAAAGCAGAGAAATAAAGAAATCAACGAATTTTCGTTTACAAAACGATACAAACTTCAATGAGATCCAGACAAAAAAGCTCTTTATGATAGAAATACGATTTTTAGGGAGATTTTAGAAAAAAAAGCTAATAAAAGCTGAATGAATGGAAGCTGAATGAATGAAAACTGAATGAATGAAAGCTGAACGAATTTCCGGACAATTCAATGAACTCAAAAGTTGAACTATTGACTTCTTTAACTGGTAATAGCTGCTGAAGCTGCTGAAGCTGCTTAAGCTGCTGAAGCTGCTGAAGCTGCTGAAGCTGCTGAAGCTGCTGAAGCTGCTGAAGCTGCTGAAGCTGCTGAAGCTGCTGAAGCTGCTTAAGCTGCTGAAGCTGCTTAAGCTGCTTAAGCTGCTGAAGCTGCTTAAGCTGCTTAGGCTGCTGTAGCTGCCTTAGCTGCTGTAGCTGCTGTAACTGCTGAAGCTGCTGAAGCTGCTGAAGCTGCTGAAGCTGCTGAAGCTGCTTAAACTGCTATAGCTGCTTAAAAACTTGTCAAGAGTCCATTTCTTCCCATTTCCACACAGCTCAAGTAGAGTAAACCAAAATTTGCGATTTTCCCAGCGATTAGAAGAGAGTTCATGATCGAAATCGTCACTGAATAGCCGGTGAAGCCGATGATTTTGAAGAGAAAGATATCCCAAGCGAATGGGACGATCGAGAGGATCTGAAATTGAATAATAAACTAATTCGAGTTGAATTTTCATTCCCTTTTTCATTTCATGTAAATCTAAGCAATTGCTTAACCTCAGCCTGTTTTGAGAACCAAGTTTCGCAACTTTTATACCATTTTTCACAGCTACAGTACTTTGTAAAGCTACAGTACTTTGTACAACAGTACTTTAGCTACAGGAGTCTGGCTATAGTAGGCTTACTATTATAGTCGTTTTGCTAGAGTAATCCGGCTACAGTAGACTTGCTACAGTAGGTTTGCTACAGGAGTCCGTCTACATTAGATGAGCTACAGTAGTCCAGCTATCTTAGACTGGCTACAATGGTCCGGTCACAGTAGACTTGCTACAGGAGTGCGACTACAGTAGCCCAGCTACAGTAGTCCAGCTCCAGTTGTCCGGCAACAGTAGACTTTGCTACAGTAGACTTGCTACAGTAGCCAAGCTTTATAAACTCGTTACAAGAGTCTTCTTATAGTAAGCCAGTTACAGTCAATTAGAGTAAACTAGAGTAAACTAGAGTAAACTGGAGTAAACTAGAGTAAACTAGAATAAACGAGAGTAAACTACAGTAAACTAACTTATCAGCCAATCAGTCAGAGTAGCAAATGCATTACGATAAGTTGAATCTATTTTCACTTAAACATTGTGCTTTCATGATTTGATTGGAGCTCAAAATGCGCAAGTTTTTGAACCCTTTCATTACCAAACTTATCCCTATTCTCAGCTCTAAAATTTTGTAGCTAAAACTAGCAATTATTCCGATCAAAAGCCAGATCATATAGTCTTAGTTCCTGGTTTTTTTTCAATTATTTTCTTGTGATTGTTTCTCCCCAAAAATTCTTAAAAAAAATTATTTTCTAACGCGTTTTTTTCTTTCAAAAGTCTAGAGAAAATGACAAATTTTCGCGTGAAAATTTCTACTGTAAAGTAGAATGAGATGAGAAATAGAATCATTTTGTGGGGAAAAATTGTTGAAAAAATTGTATCCAATAAGGGAAAAGTTGGAGTTGTTTTTAAGGATCAATTTTTTCGCTTCCACTGACAGCCGGATAGTTGGCTGCCGGATAGTTGGCTGCCGGATAATTAGCTGCCGGATAGTTAGCTGCCGGATAACCAGCTGCCGGATAGTTGGCTGCCGGATAATTAGCTGCCGGATAGTTAGCTGCCGGATAACCAGCTGCCGGATAGTTGGCTGCCGGATAACCTGCTGCCGGATAACCAGCTCCAGGATAACCAGCTGCCGGATAACCAGCTCCAGGATAACCAGCTCCAGGATAACCAGCTGCCGGATAACCAGCTCCAGGATAACCAGCTTCCGGATAACCAGCTCCAGGATAACCAGCTTCCGGATAACCAGCTCCAGGATAACCAGCTCCCGGATAACCAGCTCCCGGATAACCAGCTCCCGGATAACCAGCTCCAGGATAACCAGCTGCCGGATAACCAGCTGCCGGATAACCAGCTGCCGGATAACCAGCTCCAGGATAACCAGCTTCCGGATAACCAGCTTCCGGATAACCAGCTCCAGGATAACCAGCTGCCGGATAACCCGCTGCCGGATAACCAGCTGTTGAGAAAATTGTATCCAATAAGGGAAAAGTTGGAGTTGTTTTTCCACTTCCGTTTTTCGCTTATGCAACAATTGCCGTAATACCTATTACGGTAATTGTTGTTCTGGTGTTAGCTGAGTGTTGTTATCTTTAACTGGATCTGGACTGCTCACCGGCGACCTTTGGCATGTCAGCTGGTTCAACGTTCAACTGACAGCCGGATCATCTAATAGTTAGGCTGAAAACGATCTTCGTTCGCTCCTGGTTTACTATTTGTTTCTTTTTCGCGTTTGCTGTTTGATTCTTTTTAATTCGAAATTAAATTTTGGCTAATTTGGCTCATCCGAGAAAGAGAAAGTCCAAAAATGGAAAGAATTTTTCCTTTTTTTTTTTTCCTTTTAACAAATTAGTCTAATCCCTGTGCCCTTTCAGCGAAAAAGAAATGAAAAAGTTTCAGGGATTATATATTTCAGGGATTTACTATATTTTGCCATGTGAAACGGCAAATTTCTTCCGTGATTTTGGTGAGCAGAAAAAAAAGTGAACGATTAAGCTATTTGGGGTAAAGGTCGGGGAGAAAAAGGAGGTTAATTGGGGGCTTTGAAAATCAGAGATTACGAAAAAAATGAGAATTGAGAAAGAAAGATTGCTAATGATTGCCAATTTGAGTGCCAATGGAAAAGGGCGTGCGTATAAAAGGTTATCCGGCTCCTGATAAGCCCTGCCCCTTTGCCATTGGCTTTGAAACTTTGAACTCGAATATCTTAGTGTTAAGCTGTCCAATTGAAATGTTTTTGGTCTCATTCGATGCGCCAAGTCTTTCTCTATCGATTGGTACAAAAACTATTTAAATTGGACAAGCCGACACCAAGACATTCGAGCTCAAAGTCAGATTGCCGGGGCGCCTTTTATACGCGCGCCGCCCCTTTTTATACGCCCCGCCCTCTTTGCCATCGGCAATACCAGAATATTTAAATTGATCACCCTAACACCAAGAACTTTAAGCTTAAAGTTCGATTGCCAAGAGGGCGGGGCGCGTATAAAAGGTCTTTCTGGTCCCGCCCCTTTTGCCAATCCAACTTTGAGCTCAAATATCTTGGTGTCGGCTTGTCCAATTTAAATAGTTTTTGTACCAATCGATAGAGAAAGACTTGACGCATCTAATGATACCAGGAATATTCAAATTGAACAGCTCAACACCAAGATATTTTAGCTCAAAGTTAGATAGCCAATGGCAAAAGGGGCGGGGCTTATCAGATCTCCAAAAACCAGTTTAATCTACTGAGTACTAACGCTGAAAATGCCAAATTCTTTCATAGCCTGAAAATAGAAAAAAAATAGAGCTGAAATGGAGCTGAAATAGAGCTGAAATAGAGCTGACAAAAAGCTGATACCGGAGTTTCGAACCCGCAAACATCTAGCACCCCAGCCTAGCGCTCTACCAATGATCAACAGCGACACCATAGCTCAAGATTGAGCCTAAAACTCGTCAATTTCCAGCAACCCACCATAATCTTCCCTCTATTTTAAGCTAATCTATCTACATTTTGGTCTCCGAAAAGGGGACACGTGTTTTGGAAATTCGGAATTTAATCAGAACGAATTATTTGATGAGTTCATATGGAAATTTCGCATTAATCAGCTCAATTGCCATTTTGAATTTCGGATTTGCTGACATGACTAAGTCCTCCGAATTTACGTTAATTTTCCGGAATTTGATGACAAGCTACGTTTATCCTACTTAATCAAATTTCAATTTTAAATGAAGACTAACTTCGGGAACCAAAAAGCAATTTTAAAGCAATATTTTGATGAAATTTTTGATGACGAGATGACGCTGGGAAATCAAAGAACAGCTTATTTAACCGAAATTAAAAATTTTGAAACTATGAAATTGATTAGATTTGATTAGACTTTTAGAAAATGAAGGATTGGGTTAGATGTTGAGCTTAGAGGTTTAGAGTTTAGATGCTTAGAGGTTTGGAGTTTAGAGGCTTAGGGTTTAGAGGCTTAGAGGTTTGGAGTTTAGAGGTTTGGAGTTTAGAGGCTTAGGGTTTAGAGGTTTAGAGCTTAGAGGTTTGGAGTTTAGATGCTTAGGGTTTAGAGGCTTAGAGTTTAGAGGCTTGGGGTTTAGAGGCTTAGAGCTTAGAGTTTAGAGGCTTAGGGTTTAGATGCTTGGAGCTTAGAGTTTAGAGGCTTAGAGTTTAGAGGTTTGGAGCTTAGATGTTTAAAGTTTAGAGGCTTAGAGTTTAGAGGCTTAGAGCTTAGAGGTTTAGAGTTTAGAGGCTTAGGGTTTAGAGGCTTAGAAGCTTAGAGGCTTAGGGTTTAGAGGCATAGAGTTTAGATGCTTAGAGCTTAGATGCTTAGAGCTTAGATGCTTAGAGCTTAGAGGCTTAGAGGCTTAGAGCTTAGAGTCAGATGCTGAGAGCTTAGAGCTTAGAGGCTTAGATGAATTGTTTTACTTTTAAAAGCATTATTTAACAATTTTGTTTAACTAGAAATACGGGAATGGGGATTAGCATGGGATTCGAAACATCGATCATCGACATCGGCCATCAATTCGCTTGCTAAGCTGGCACGTTACCAATGAGCTATCCTGACAAGTGCTGGGTTGCGAAAATAGGGTCTTATTAACTCAAAAAGTTGCGAAACTCGATTCTCACGATTCTCTTTGTCCGATCGTTTCAGAACAATGAATTCAATGAACAATGGCTATTCATTAGCCAAAAGTTCAATGAAAAGAGTGATTCGAAATCGAAATAAACTCTTGCAAAGTTCAAATTTCGAAACAAAAGCGGATTAGAAATGTTTCTGGCGATTTTTAGAAATTCTTTTATGTTTTTATTTTATTTTATCTTGTTTAAAAGATGTTTAGAAATTCTTTTATGTTTTTTTTTTCTTTTAAAACTGACATGTGTGAGTGCGAAACAATGGGCGACAGCCGGGAGATAGATGGTGATTTTGCGACGTTGTTGAGATAATCCTTCAGAGCTGCTGAAAAAAGGAGAATTTCGAGGGGAAAAGACAATCAGATTTCAAAGTTCATTTGACGAGAAATGTCACGGAGAACGGGAAAGACGGGTTTTATTTTTGGGAAATTTGTTCCAATCGTTACTAGACTCGATTGAAAAAGGAGAAATTGGGGGAAAAGAAAGTCCTCAAACTTGTCCACTTTAGAGAACTACCGTAATCCTTTCTACAGTACCCTAAGACTATGACAGTACCCTAAGACTGTATATAGTAACCTAAGACTGTATACAGTAACCTAAGACTGTGTACAGTAACCTAAGACTGTGACAGTAACCTAAGACTGTGACAGTAACCTAAGACTGTGACAGTAACCTAAGACTGTGACAGTAACCTAAGACTGTGACAGTAACCTAAGACTGTATACAGTAACCTAATCCTTTCTACAGTAACCCTAATCCTTTCTACAGTAACCTAATCCTTTCTACAGTAACCTAATCCTTTCTACAGTACCCTAATCCTTTCTACAGTACCCTAATCCTTTCTACAGTACCCTAATCCTTCTTGCTCACCTGAAGAGCTCCATAGCTTCATTTGTCGGATCTCCGCCCTTTCCCTCTTTCAGCATGACGATCACTTTTCTCGTTAAATAGTAGATGATGATGGTTGGGATGAAGATAAGGAAAAGCGCGGAGCCCATATGCAACCAGATGAACAGCTCACGCGTCATGTACTCTGGGTTCATCTAAACGATGAATTTGCATTGCTGAAAGGCAAAATCTATACCATCAACTTTGAGAACATCTTGCTATTCTCTCCGTTTTCATCCGAGCAATTGAACCAGATTTTCGTTGAGTAGGAGAAGTGGTGGAAAGACGAGCAAAGGAGAGCGCCGAGAATACCCACTCCAAGGCATAACCAAACCGATTTCCCACCAAAAAGCACCTAAAGATTTGATTTTATAAGAGAAGCTTGTTGCCTAGAATTTCTACAGAAGAGAAGCTTGTTGCCTACAGTTTCTACAGGAGAAGAAGCTTGTTGCTTACAGTTTCTACAGAAGAGAAGCTCAAAAGTTGCCTACAGTTTCTACAAAGTTTAACTTTATACAAGTTTGGTCACAAGGCCAATATAAAGAGGAAAGCTCTTTATATTGGTTAAATGCAAAAGAAAATGCAAAAGAATGGTTTGAAAGTCACTAGTTGGACTCGAACCAGCGACCTCCTGCTTCCTAGCCTAGCGCGTTACCACTGAGCCATAGAGACACTTGAACGGTCCCACCAAGATTTGGGCTTTAAGGGCTCCTTTCTTTTTTCTTCTTGTTTTTCATCTTGCTTGTCTTTTTTCTTTCTTCTTTCTTATCTCCTATTTCTTCTTGATCAAACAAGATGCAGATAGCTCAGTGGTAGAGCATTCGATTGGTAAGCAGAAGGTCGAGGGTTCAATTCCCCTTGGTTCCAAATTGCAATTGATTTCTTAGCTTTTTCATTGCTTTCGTTTCGTTTTGACAATTATCAAGTTCTTCAGCCACAGTAGACATTTTTAACTCAATTGTTGACGGAAAATAATAACTACAACTTCTATTGAGTGGGTGTAAAATGATTATGCGGAAAGCGCGTGAATTCTTATGACTGAAATTGAATTGTAAATCTTGCAAATCTGGACTGTCATTCATTTTACAATGAAATAATCGCTTTGTCGTTTGTCGAACTTGTTAAACCTTGGTGAGCGAGGAGTTCTTGGCTCTCAAGTAGATCTCGATGATGATCAGCATGAAGATCGACGTGTCAACAGCTGAGAGTTGATTTGAGAAAGCGTAAAATCGGATTTTCGACATTTGGTTGAAACGTCTGAAAAAAGGATTTCATTTGAGATTTGAGATTTGAGAATGGAAGATTTTAGATTTTAGGTGGATTACCGGAAGTCCTCGTTCTCGTAGAGAAACTTGAAGCTGCCCATGCTTTGTGGCATCAAGCAACCGAATATCAAAATGTCGACCACGGCCAGGACGCAAAGCGAGACTTGTGCCTGGAAAGAAGAAGAGTTTTGAGCTAATAGGTTTAGCTAATTACGCGGGTTTGCCTTTTCCAGGGTTTTTTTACTTCGGTTTGTGGAAAACAGCAAATTTTACGGGGGAAATGATCTAGGGAAAAGCCCAAACATTTTGGACGGGACAGGACTCGAACCCTCGAGCTTGTGACGACCTGTAGACTCGTAAACAAGCGCGTAAGCCACTAGGCCACTTGGACAGCGTGAACGGTTTGTTAAAAACGGTTTTTGAACCCTCCCACCTTTTTCGAAAAAAAAGAAGATTTTATAGGGGACAGGAATCGAACCCTTGAGCCTGTGACGGCCTGTAGACTCGTAAACAAGCGCGTAAGTCACTAGGCCACTTGGACAGCACGGGCGGTTTGTTAAAAACGGTTTTTGAACCTCCTACAAAGTTAAAACTTTGAATTTTCGCAATAAATATTTATGAAAGCGTCAAAAATATCAAAAAAAGAAGATATTCAGCTGTAAATTTGTACCCGGGGGTTTTCGGGGTCAAGGAATCGATTGGAACTATTCATTTTATCGAGTCTACCAAATGGAACTCGAGTTTGCCCATCTCAAAGTTACAATTCAAACCAACCACATGCTTGGTGCGACCCTGGAAAACATTGTAGAGAACCATGAATGCCAGAACAAAGAAGCCGATGATTTGCACGGGGAATACGTAGTGTTGCATGTAATAGTCCAACGAATTCACCGTCATCGGGCCTCGCGCACATTTTGAGCTCATTTTGTTGGTAGAACTGAAGTGAAAAGGTAATAGAAAGTCTTTTAAAAGAAATATGAATCGAGAGTTCAAAAACATCGAGTTGAAAGTGTTTTTAGAAAGTTTAGAATGAAAGAAAAATGAAGTAAAGGAAAAGAAACTTTACTTTTTGTTTTTGAAAAGGAAAAGGAAAAGGAGCTCAGAGGATTCGAACCCGGATCTCTTGCGGTAGGGTGCTGGCTATGAACCCGGACCACAACCAATACACCACGGAGGCAGCTGGTCGCTAAGCTTAAAAGCCAGTTATCTGAAGAGCAAAGGAAAAAATCTGAAAAGGAAAGAAAAAGGAGCTGACCGGGTTCGAACCCGGGTCCCTCGTGGTGGGGAGCAGGCTAAGAATCCGGACCACAACCAATACACCACGGAGGCAGCTGGTCGCTAGGCTTAAAATCCATTTATCTGAAGAGCAAAGGAGCTAACGGGGCTCGAACCCGGGTCCCTCCTGGTGGGGTGTAGGCTAAGAAACCGGGCCAATACCAATACACCATGGAGACGCTTGATCGGCCACTTATCTGAAGAGCCTTAAAAGCCACTTATCTGAAGTGCCAAAGGAGCTTACGGGGTTCGAACCCGGGTCTCTCGCGGTAGGGTGCTGGCTAGGAACCCGGATCACAACCAATACACCACGTAGACTCTTGGTCAGCTGACTTAAAAGCCAGTTATCTAAAGAGCACCGGATCAATGCTGGTCATCAAAATAAGGCAAAATCTCAAGGAAAGTTCGAAATTCATTTCAGAAATCAGAATTCAGAAAAGAACTTCAAGAAAATGAACTCAAAACTGATAAGCAAAAAGCTTTTATAGAGAATTGAAGGGTAATTAACGAAAAGCTCTAGGGAATAGAAGCTGACTGAATGAAGGATTACTGTAACTAAAATGGCGGATCGAAAGAATTCAGATTAACTGAAAGAGTCGAATAATTAAAGCCTCCGCTAGGCCACGCCCCCAGGAAATTGAAAAAATGAAAGAAAAAAGAAAAGAAGCAAAATGACACAAAATCCGGCAAATAACAATCGGATTTACGGGAAAGAAAGAGTGATTTTTTAAAGAAGACAATCGTGAAGAGTTTTTTCTGAAATTTTGTTTGAGTTGAATTGGTGAATCCGTGCGTTTTTGCAGAGAAAACTTCATTTTTGATCGTTTTTTTTGATAAACTCCAGTTTTTTAAGTTTTTTCAAGGGTTTTCTTTGGTCACAGATTAGTTTTTGAGATTTTAGACGAAGCTAAAGATCAGGATTGTTTCTAGAATCAAAAATTCAAACCCAGCCCAGGCTAAGGGAAAGTTTTTAGCTTTTAACTTAAGTCATTTTGTTTGTAGTATATCAGTACTACTAACCAAAGAGTACAGTAGCAGAGCGTCGTTTAGAAAGTCCTAGAAAAGAAGTTATTACCATAGTAGAAGTTATTATCGTAGTACCTTTTGGGCTACGGTACCAAGCCACTATTTAGACGGGTATACGGTAGCCGGGATTCAATTTAGAAAGCAGTAATAGCAGACAACGAAGAGATGCTGGTTTTAGAAAGAGATCTAGTGCGCTAGGAGGCGTGCGTTTAGCGGTGATTACAAAGCTGATCGAAGGGAAGTACCCATCACTGCCGATTATTAACAGTTCAACAGTTCAACAGGTCAACAAGCCAAGGAGAAGTTCAGCTGTTTAAAAGGCTTTTCTCAGGGGCTCCTCAATGTGACCCGGTGGTCTAATGGATAAGGTGCTCGTTTACAAAGCAGCTAGGCAGATATGGCTCGGGTCCGAGTCCCTGTCTGGTAAATATTTCAAGTTAGAAATCAATAATTCTATGCTTAAGACAACGAAGAGATGCTGGTTTTAAAAAGAGATCTAGTGCGCTAGAAGGTGTGCGTTTAGCGGTGATTACAAAGCACGAGCTGATCGAAGGGAAGTACCCATCACTGCCGATTATTAACGGTTCAACAAGTCAACAAGCCAAGGAGAAGTTCAGCATCTTGCTTAAAAGGCTTTTCTCAGGGGGCTCGGCAATGTGAACCGGTGGTCTAATGGATAAGTTGCTCGTTTACAAAGCGAGCTAGGCAGATATGGCTCGGGTTCGAGTCCCTGCCTGGTAATTATTTTTCCTATTTTGATTTTAATGAAACTAATTTGAATAGCTTTTCCTTCTTTTCATTTCCTCTTCAATAAACAAAGAAAATAAAGAAAGCAAAGAGCATTCTGAGCATTTAAATAATGACATCACGCTGGCATTGCTGGCTTTAAATGAAATGAAATCTGATTTTCTGATTTTCTGAAAAAGCATTCTTCATGTCTATGGAGTTATCTCATAATTGAATTCAATGATCTCATAAAAATCTTTGAAAAAAAAAAGCACTCGCACGTAAAAGGAAATCCGTAAATAAGGATTTTCACTATTTTTTGTAATAGGCGGAGGGTATTTTTTGTTATTTAAAAAAGGAAAGTCATCATGAGCTGTCGCTGAGCTAAAAACGAGCTCATAAACAACCCAAAAATAGATAGTTTTTATCAAATTTCTCTCATATTTTTACAAAATTCATTAAAATCAATGAAAAGACTTGAAAATCATTGAAAATCATTGAAAATACTTGAAAATCATTGAAAATCCTTGAAATACTTGACTAATTCTATAGATTTGCGTAATTCGATCAGCTAAATGAAAGTTTATGAGTTTAAAATAGAGAAAAAGCATTGAAAAGCCTGGAAAACCATTGTGAAACGCTTTTTTTTTTGCTGTATTTTTGTTGTTTCTTTCGAAAGAATTTTTTTTTTTTTTTTTTTTTTTTTTTTTTTAAAATTAAAAAAAAAAAAAAAAAAAAAAAAAAAAAAAAAAAAAAAAAAAAAAAAAAAAATAAAAAATTTTTTGTTTTTATTTTCAAAAATTTTAAGATTCATTTTAAAATTTTTTAAAAATATTTTTTAAAAAAATTTAAAAAAATAAATTTTTTTTTTTTTTTTTTTTTTTTTTTTTTTTTTTTTTTTTTAAAAAAAAAAAAAAAAAAAAAAAAAAAAAAAAAAAAAAAAAAAAATTTTTTTTTTTTTTTTTTTTTTTTTTTTTTTTTTTTTTTTTTTTTTTTTTTTTTTTTTTTTTTTTATAATTTTTTTTTTTTTTTTTTAGAATCGAGCTATTCAAGTAAAGAATCGAGCTATTTGTGTCACTCGATTCGGTAAAGGCTTAAATTTTCCATTATCCAAAGCACAAGATGATGAGAATGGTGATGAAAGGTTAGCCAAAAACGGCCAAACAAAACGGCCAAACAAAACAGCCAAACAAAACGAAAACGAACACACCCAACAAAAAAATGCAAAACCATCAAATCCAATTAGCTTTATGGGCTTAAAAAAAGACGAAATCCGACAAAAAGAGCGAATTTTGATGGATTTTTGATGGAGTTTGATGGATTTTAATGGATTTTTGATGGATTTTTGATGAATTTTGATGGACTTTTGATGGATTTTGATGGAGTTTTGATGGATTTTGATGGATTTTTAACGAATTTTGACGAATTTTGATGAATTTTCGCAAATTTTAACCAATTTTGACCAATTTTGACGAAAAGAAAGTCAAGAAAAGCGAAATTTCTTTATGTTATCAAAGATTTTCGTAATTTCTAGCTGATTTATGAGTTGATTTATGCAAAATGACTCGATCTCTGTGCTCTGAATCGCTGTGCTTTGCCATGGAAAAGAAAAATTGATCAAAATATGGGAAAACAAATCAAATTTCCTTTCAGAAATCATCAAATCACTCGAATTTTTACTCTGAATCACCATGAAGATCAACTTTATAAAATTTCTGGAAATCGGCTTAAAAAGAGTGACGAATTTCGGGTGGTGGCCTTGAAAAGTTCTGTTCTAAAAGTGGAAATGCAAATTTTTGAGTTTCCGAAAAGATCAGAGCGAATTTGTGAAATTTTTCTGAAATTTCTGAATTTCTGATTTTTTTCGAAGGAAAACTCGTCTGGATTGGGCAAGAATCAAACCCTTGAGGGTAATCTTTGTAAACCAACGCGCTAGCCACTAGGCCACTTGGACAGCAGCGACAGGCTCTTAAAAATGCTTTTTGAGCCTTCCGGCAGATTTTAGAGGGAACAGGAATCGAACCCTCGAGCTTGTGACGAGCTGTAGATTCGTAAACAAACCTGTAAGCCACTAGGCCATTTGGACAGCAGGGACCATTGGTGAAAAGCGGTTTTTGAACCGGGGCGGCGCGGGGAAAAGGGGGCGGGGCGCGTATAAAAGGTCTTTCTGGCTCCGCCCCTTTTGCCAATCTAACTTTGAGCTCAAATATCTTTGCATTGGATTGTCCAATTTAAATAGTTTTTATACCAATCGATAGAGAAAGACTTGACGCATCTAATGATGCCAAAAATATTTCAATCGAACAGCTCAACACCAAGATATTCGAGTTCAAAGTTAGATTGCCAATGGCAAAGGGGCGGGGCTTATCAGATGTTCAAAAAAGAGTCGAAACTTCAATTTAGTGTAATAGCTAGGATTTAGTGTAATAACTAGGATTTAGTGTAATACCTAGATCTCTCAGAACTCCTCTCAGAATCTCTCAGAAAATGTACAATAGTTGAGATTACTAATCCTCTCAAATGAAAGATTTCAAAACCTACTAGAGAGATTCAATTCAAGGAAAGAGTAGGAAAGAAAAAGAAAGAAGGAAGGAAAGACAAAGAAAGAAGGCCCGAAAGACAAAGAAAAGAAAATCATTGTAGTTTTTCAATGAGCAACTAAAAATCAAAGGAAATGAAAAAGTGGGGGTGGATTACAAATGAGTGGGTCGATGTTGTGCTGTGTGTGAAAGGGAAATCAAATCAAAAAGAATGAATGAATGGAAAGGGGAATCAATTGGGGGAATTAATTCAACGAATCAGACCCGAGAAAAGCGAAGAAAAAAAAGGAGGAATTGAATTACAGATTTTTGTTTTCTTTGATCTACCAAAAACGATGAGAAATAAGATGGAATAAT